TGAATACATTTTCTTTGATCTTGTGTGCTTGGTGTATTCATGTTGTTAATTAAAAAAAACAACAACAAAGTTTTTGTGCCGAAAATTGTTTTACATGATATACAATACACTTGTTTTTGTTGGTCGTAATCAAGCATGAGTTTATTTAGTAAGCTGTAATATAATTCTCATTACTAGCTTAGGATACTTTTGGAGTATTTAATATATGTCTCTTCATATATCATCTGCACTACACACACTATGAACTTGATAGTAAAAATCTACCGAATGTGTGAGATTTGAGATGACAGTCGCATGTTAGTAGGATGACTTTGAACATGAATTGACCAACTTATTTAGACCTAAACTCGAGTTTATCCATGCAATAATATATAGACACATAATGAAAAGTTTAAATTAAAGGAGCTCAATATCTTATACTTCTTTTCGAAGCCTACTTGACTTGAGTAATTAAGCCTGTGGGGTTTCTCAGAACCTGATATCTATGGTCATCTGACTTGGGTTAACGGGCCTAAAACTCGTTACATGGGGTCATGTTAGTATCTTAATGAAAAAAAAGCTTGCACTTAAAATGATTACAATATATATGAGCATTTATGTTTACTGCTGTGAAATAAGATAACTGTTTTGTGCTACAAGTCAGGGAGAGAAAAGACGTTCTCCATAATACTTTGCTGGTTTGACTTTTCTAAGTAGAGAAATATACTTATTAGCAGTGATTTTTTATAAGTCATTTCTCACAAAATTAAGGTTTGGAGTCCTACTATCTACGTATTAGTGGCACATAACACATATATGTCACTTATATCATTTACTCCATGGGTACTTTGAGTTAGTTTGTGGGAAAGTTTATAGTTCATTGCATATACTTATGACTGGTTACACCTACATTCTTACGATGTTGTATGTTGTTCTTTATCCCTTATCATTTTGTGACAAAAGGGGGGAGTAGAAAAATTCCAACCTGTTTGATTTTTGGGACTCAAAGGCATTTCATTATTTAACTTCAATTCGTTAAATTCAGTTTTTGATTTTTTTTGTAGTGTCAATATTTCGTTTTGGTATGTTGGGTTCCACTGATACTGTGTCTAAGTTTAGCAATGAGTTACAAATGTTTAAATGATTCTTACACTTAAGCTGTTGAACTACATTTATTATTGATTCTGTTTTCCACACATTACACTGGGTATTTGAGTTGTCTATTTCAGGATACAGGTACTGAAACTGAAATAAGGTTTTTGTTTAAAGACAAATTTAAGTTGAAGTCATTTTTTAGTCTGTAATTTATTTTTGATTAGTGCCTTGACTTAGATTGTAGTTTTGTCACAGAATACTAAATGGGGAGTTTGTTAGGTTTTTGATTATTTGTAATTGGCGATTCTGTGAACAAAAGGACTGAAATTGACATATTGTAAAAGTTTAAGGAGTAATGTGCAAATACGTTGAAAATAGGGTTTTTAGGTCTAGGGTTTAAAAATGGCAAAAAGAGGAAAACGGTGTGAATTTTAGCTGGCCTGTCCCCAAGGTTTGGCTCGAGCTACAAAAGCAGAAACTTTATCGCTTGACTGTCGCCCTGCCTTTGCTCGAGCGACAGTCTGTCGCTCGACTGACAGCTTTAAAGGCTTTTTATTTAGCGTTTTAAAGGCTTTTTCCATGACCCATTCATTTTTCTAACCTACCTATAAATACCAAAACATATTTGAACGTGTTTGATGATGTTGAACATAGAGAGAAAAAGGCTACAGAGTGATTCCTTCATATTTGATTTTTTTCAACCTTCATCTATGAGAGTTTTGGTGAGAAAAACTCCAGTTCAATAATCCAAATACCAAACGGTTGTTCCTCTACATCTTATCAGAGTTTTGAAGATCAAGGAAATTCGACTGGAGTTCCAGTCTGTGAAGATCGCGGTGTTCTTCGTGGTTCCAATGGATTCAATAATCCAAATACCAAACTGTTGTTCCTCTACATCTTATCAGAGTTTTGAAGATCAAGGAAATTCGACTGGAGTTCCAGTCTGTGAAGATCGCGAAGTTCTTCGTGGTTCCAATGGAGATAAACGATTTCACAAAGTTAGGAGTTGCTGTAGAAGAGCTTTGGGAACTGCAGTTGGGAGTGGTGCATGAGTACAAAATTCAGGAAAGCTGTTGGAACTACAGTCAGGAGATGAGATAGCACGTGTCGTCGTCTAGGCTGGTAGACTGTAAGTTACATATCGTTTATAGTGGATTGTTGACTGGCAAAGTGCCTGGAGTTTTTCCCAGTTGGATTTCTCCGTTATCATTCCGGTGTTTGATTTACTGCTTTACTATTCATTGTTTATTGTACAACTATGGTAATTCAACTTAGGATAAATTGACTTAAATGTTGAATCATGTAGAAAAGAATTAAAAAGTGACTTGTTACTATTTAATTCGTAAAAATATTTTTAATTCCGCATTACATACATATTCACCCCCATCTAGATATTGTTAGGATCGAACTGCGTAACTTTCAAATGTCAATAACAACTTCTCATTTATTAAGGGGAATTTATTGTAGGAAGATAACCTCATATTTGATGGATGGATGTTGGTAAATTAATTCCTACATAAATGTGCCAAGGGTCCATAGCTAAACTCGTACAAAAATTTCCAACAGAATTTTATCTCTCAAATAAAAGGTCCCGTGTATTTATTTCCATCAAATAAAGGGGATGTAAGTGGGTATTGACTAGAAGGCTTGTTGGTAGTGTCACACTTAATTGTCACTACATTTTCTCAATTAATCTTGGATAACATGGCTAGAGGTAAGCAATTCATTTTTACAACGAATCTTTTTGCAAGGCTTCCTCGGAAGTTTTTGATCATTGTGAAAAGTTTTTCAAGGGATTTCCTCCGTTATCAATTTCTAGTGTCAACTACTTTTTACTTATTTGATCTGAATGTTTATGTGATTGTTTAACCAATAAATAGCAACTTGTTTCTTTTTTATTGTTGATTGTTTTAATTTCGCATATTTGGGTCTAAGCATACTTCACAACAAATAAGATTTAGGCAAAATAACAATCTTATTTGATCATAAACATATAAATGATTGTTTTGAATTGAATCCATGGATTTAAAAAATAGTAACATTTCTCGTTCCCTCTCAATTAGAATATCTAGGACGTAAATTGACTTCCTTTTATTGATTTTTCAAAATTACATTGATTTATTGTTATCCAACTATATCTATATATATAAAATGATAAAAAGGGGGAGGGAAAGATAGAAGATAAGCAATTAAATATATAGTTCTCTAGTACACAACATTATTTTTTTGCCTTTGTATGCATATAGACGAATGTTTGTTTTCAATTATTAACTTGTTCCTCAAGTTTCCATCTTCCCTAACTAAACATCAAGCTCGCATTGGAATGAATTAAAGTCTCCAAAGAAAATGTCATATTCCTCAGCAAAGTTGCTACTTGAATCTTGAAAATCAAAGGATGTTTGTATGTCGTTTGGAAAGCTACTTCGTGGAGGTTTTGGCTCCGACGTAGATGGACTGTCACAAGCCGTGGTTTGCTCTAGCAACTCTTTGAATTTGGAGGATTGTAGCAAAATTCCGAGAGTGGATGGACTGGTGGCATCATTTTCCAGACATGGTGGTTGTAAAGTCATTTTAGGAGGACCTGAGCTAATTGCCAGATTGTGGTGCTCGTGCAGTTCTTCATTCGAGTTTTGTACATGAGTAGTGTCAACCTGACCAATAAAGTCAGGGTTGCTGCTTGTGTCGCATTGTTTAGGTTTTATGTAGCTTATGTATCGACTGATGTCAAAATTTGTAACAGCCTCATGTCCACGGTACTCGATAGCGGCCATATCGTATGCAATTGCTGCTTCCTCTTGTGTAGCTGCAAGAAAAAAGTTGGAATAATTTGAGAAATCCACATAGCTTTTATGTGTAATAAATTCATGCATTAAATTTGCTGACAATGGAAGAAAATAATGTCGAGGGGGTTGAACGTTACTATTTACAGAAATGATCTCCTACCCATGGTGGGTTAGAGTTATCTTGTCCACCGTTGACATGAACCTACAATTTTGACAATTGAACATTGAATTGTCAAAAACTGTAGGTTTGGCGGCTGGTGTGGTGAATATGTTTTATTCTACCTACCATATGTAGGGGATCATTTCTAATAATATACATATAGAAGCCCTAGCAGTTTAGGGTTATGAGGTTAATTGATTTTCCCAAGCTAAGCTAGCTAATAAAATAAGTCTAGATGTAACTAACATGACTATATGCTTTTTTTCACTAATTAGACTAACATTTGAAAATCATTGGGGACATTTGTGGATTTATTTAACAACGCCTCACAAAATAAAAGATATCTAATTCGGGACATTTGTGGATTTAATAATCTGATTTGTTTCTAAAAGTGATTCATTGATATTCCAAATTATGGTCATGATCATGATCATGATCAATTTTTTGCCTTAAGGTTTCTATCACTATATGTTTAGTAGGATATCATCTAATCACATTTAGCTATTGACCGATAGAGATTAAAATTAGATTTTTAGCAGGTTTTGATAAAAGTTAATAGAATGTGTGGTTGAAAAGTTATAGGCCTATAAAATGTGTAATTAAAATTAATTATTAATTTTGACTTAAATTTTAATAAGATTTTTTTAGTTACCAAACAGGGGCTTAATAATGAATAATGCAATGCCTTTCAAGTAGATATTTTGACAAAATAATATCAAATATTGACCATAAAATATCTAAGAAAATAACCTACATAACATAACATACATGGATGCATACATACATACATGCATGTGTTGCTTGTATGTATGTATGTATGTATGTATGTATGTGTGTATTTTTGTTTGTGTAGATGCAATTATTTGTTACCTACCAAATGTTCCAAGGTATAAATATTTGTTGCCAAACACCCTACCAATGCGAGCCTCCCATCTTCCATTATGATGGTGTCTGTCAATTGGAAAAAAAAAAAAAAAAAAAAACTCAAAACATTCTCAAAAGGCAAAACTCGTGAGATCTTAAGAAAGAAATAAAGAGTAATGCTATTTGATAACCATTTGTCGATGTGCAGTAAAGTCTACAATTGCTTAGTGAATCAAAAGCTATCGAACTTCATACCTCCTTATATTTTTGTGCACGGTTTATACATATGTAATACTAGACAATAATTATTGAACAGCACAATGAACAATTTTTTTTTTCTTCACGCTACTTCTAGTAGTGACTAATGCACGCTCCATTCATGTGTTGTCCCAAAATTATTGTCCCTTCATAGCCTATTCTTAGCAAATGAGGACGTCAACTTTAGCATCTTCCTATAAACTAGCTAATCTCTATCCCACAAATATAGACTTGCTTCTATTTTCACACAGATTAAGAAAATATAAAATATAAATTTTACTTACATTTTTTTTTTAATATATCCTTACATTAAAACATTATATATGATTATTTCATATTTGTTGATAACAATTCACATTAAGCGCCTATTTGAGCCCTATTTTTTTTGTCCAAAACGCATATTTGAATAATATTTTGTTGGAGAATGTGTGATTAAAAAATAAGGAAAGTTTTGAACTAGCGTATAATATTATTTTATTGAAAAACTTGTGGTTGAAAATAAGAAAGAGAAAAATTTGCTTTGAAAATAATTGGTACCAAACAAAATGTAAATAGGAACATATTAGACGATTAAGAAATCAACTATACTCTTAACAAGGAAGATGACCTATAATTTGAGAAAGATAAAAAGAAAAGTAAGTCAATCTTTATGAAACGAAGATAGTAAAAATGTGTCAAGGTGCGGAAATGCACTAAAGAGACAATATGTTACTACTCCCTTAAACATGGCGTTGGGATTGGACAACTTAGTACAACTTCGAACATCCAAGGATTCATTAAATTTAGCTGGCGTTGGTTCGTTAGATGTGAAAGTGAAACTGATCATATGGGCCTATTGTATTTATGAAAGTTTCATGCTGTTGGAAGATTACGACTTTTTTGAGAGCCATTATTACATGTCCGCATATTTTGGTATAATCAACCTAATAAATTTGAAGTCGGTTATTTATTTCGCTATATTACAAATATATGAGATCGAGTCTTTTTTAGTGATTGAAACGACTTAAGCCACAAAGATCTATATATTACTCTATCCATCTGTCTCAATTATATAGGCTGAATTTTCTTTTTCTCTTGTCCCAAATATATAAGCATGTTTTCTAATGTAGAATATTTTATTGTATTCATTTACCAATATATCCTTATTAAATTTTCTTCACTTAATATGTCAACTTCTTGAAATCATCTAAATGCACACATTTCTCACTGCCTGGAAACATGGAACAACTCTCATTTCTTTTACCTTTTCAAATTCTTTATTAATTCCAACAACAATTCAGCTTTACATACTGAAAATTAAATAGAGGTAAACTAGGAAAAATCTTAGCAAAAATTAATTTTCCAATGACATTAAAGAAACTTTCTTAATCCACGTGAAAAATGAAACAAGCCTATATAATTGGGATGGAGGGAGTACAATTTATTGATTTTTAACGATCAGAATATATTATTATTAATTTTAGCACAAACTTTCTTTGTCCAACATTTTTTATTGACGGTGTAAAGTTTATTTATTTTTGCTTGAAACCCTTTTTGAATAACATAAAAAGATTAAATGCCTTTATAAAATTCATTGTCAATTACCTTGCCACACCTCTATACTTGGACACTCCCCGGGAAAAGCCACTGCTGTTTCTGCGAGTTTGGAATAATGAAATGAAATACAATTTTGTATATTAAATATGAAAATAGTTGAGAAAAATAATTAAATTAATTAGTTTCCATACCTTCTTAATGAACCAATATACTCTACTTTGGACTGATCCTCCATTTCCTTAAGTTCTTTTTCATATGTCGAAAACTACATAATTAAGCTCGCATTATGCAGTTATATATAATTAAAATATTTTTGTAAATAATTGCGATTAATATAAAACTTACGTGAAAATTAAGTGGAGTTTCTTGTCCCCAATACTTCAATGCAGCCAGGTCATAAGCATGTGCAGCTGCTTCTTCATTGTCATAGGCTCCTAAATACAATCAATCAAAAATATTCTAAAATTACATTTATTTTTTATTTTTTTGAAAAAGAGAAAAATGAAATTTTGATATTAAGATTTGGTCAAGATAGAGTACATTTCTTACCTAAATAAACTGCATTTTAATTTGAGCCGCCCACCACAACCACCATTTTATGTAGATTAAAGTTTAACAAAATAAATGACAGAAATTAGAAATTCACATATTTTCTTAAAAGTAATACACATAAGAAAATGGAAAAAATAAAATGACAAACCTTGTCTTCCTTTCCTGTTTTGAGATTCATTCCAACAATTCTTATCCCACAAATGAGCTTCATATCGACCCGTCCACCGGTGCCTAAAATGATCACTAAGCACTTTGATCAACGAAGAAAAATAAAAGCGAGTAATTTTTTATGTTAGATTGGATAGAATTGAACATGACGAGATATGAATAAGTAGAGCAGATGCAGATAGAGAGAACCTTGTTACACCCCTATAAATGGAACTGCGCTGCTGTGGAGACTCTCTCGGAACACTTTTACGCGTTTTCTTAACCTTGGTAGTGTCATTGTTATCACTGCTCGAGGCCGAGCTCTTCTTCAGGTTTTTCTTCGAGTTCTTAGCCATGACACTGAGCCCTCCAATGGCAAGAAGTGGAAGGAATTATAGAGTTTGAAGAAATTAGTGAGTGTTGGGTGGGGATAGGCTGATGAGGAAAAACTGGTTTTGTGGGTATTTAATGACCGTCTCAAAGTGGCTCATTGATTTGTCTCATTTGGATTTGGTGTGGCATTTTCCCTTCTCCGCCTGAATTTAGATTGGCTTTAGGCTATTAGACTTTTTTCTTTTCTTTCAAATCTAATTTCTAGTTGATTGGACCTTTGGTTTTCCTGTATAGATGTGCTAATCTAACAACTCCCTAATCCCAATAAATGATATCTTGTGTATACTTTTACAGCCTTGGGAAGTTAAGGATGTGGGATTTATTAGGTCCTTTGAAAAGACGGTTTCTAAGTTTTATTTATTATGCTACTTGAAAATACTCAAGTTAAATTGAGTTTAGATTATATTAATTAAATATATATCGGTAAAGAGAGCGATGTTATGTAGAAAATCGAGAGAGAGAGAGAGAGAGCAAATTTAGACGTGCCCAAATGAGTGGGGTCGACCTGAATTGACTCACCTTCGTGTAGATCCAACTGAGGCTCATTATGGATTTGAATGTCTACCAATTGTATATTAACCGGCCAAGCTCGTCACATTTTTGCTTTAATATGTTTCACATACATATATATAACATTATCTCTATAAATTTGTCATTAGTTATATTTCTATACTATAAATCGTTACAAATTCTATACCTTGATCTTACGTGTAGATACATGCTTTATGTCACAAACTTAAATTCTACTTGCTAAATTTAAACTTCAAAATGTCTTAGGCATGATATATGGTACAAAAGAATGTCACAAATTTGTGATTAAGAGTCAATCACACAACGCAATATATCACAGTCACATAACATATTAAAAATGAAGCTTGCAAATTGTGGGAAGATATAATCAGTGGATTGCAGATTTTCAAGAACTATGATCAAATATGATGGTCGATGTCGGTGACTGGAAACAATTGTTTATAAATGATTATTCAACTCTCTGCTCCACCAATAAATAGAAAAATGGTGAAGAACTTGTGGTGACAAGAAGGAAACATTTATTCTGGAGAAGTCGAGTTGGTGAAATTGCAGTCAAATTATTTATGTATTGTTGAAAAATCACATCATGGGTGTGCAAGAATGTTTGGGAGGAAGATAGATGATTGACTTTTTCTGGGGAGTGATAAAATGAGAAATCAACCCTTTATATAACTTTCAATTTAAATTAAATTATTCTCCTCATAAGTCCTGTAAATCGTAATAGCATGCTTATAACTGAGTTTGGAACATTAAAATTTACTTGAAATCCCAAGAAAACGAGAGGTTGAATTGCTTGCCTTCTTGTTGCTTGTTTGCTTACCAATTACTTTTCTTCTAGTCAGAAACTCGATTACTATGAAATAGTCTTCATTTCTTAGTTGAATTTTCTAATTTCAAGTCAGCTGTTTTCCTAGACATGTCCCATCAAACCGAATTAATCATAGTTATTGACAATATTCTAAAGTAGCAAATACCGAAATAAAATTTTGAGAAACGGTTAAAAGTTATAAGGGTATTTAAGTGATGTCATATGTGCATCGGAGACTCACATAATGAAGAAGCGGGATCAGTTCTTCATTTCATATTGGTCAATAAAACACGCGTGATATGAAACACGTGTTACGGTGATTTCTTCCTTTCTTGAGGTGTATGTCTAATCTTACAAATTAAATACACCATACAGATCATAGTTCAGATATTTCTCGATATCTAACATAAGTTCTCCTTATATTTATTTCTGTAGACAATCCCAATTAAAAACTCAATTTGACTATAGAACATGTCTAATGGATAGCAAAATCCATACCGAATACTTGTTGTAATCTCATCAAGGCAACTGGATTGTGTACACAATATGGTCACTGTGTATGATCTCAGCGTACCTCAAAGTGTGTGAGGCGATTGTTCATATGAGTAAACCAGTCTCAACCTATTTCACATACTTTATGTGTGCATAAAGTACTTCATTAATGGACTTATATGAAAAGTTCACATAGTAAATAATTCAAATTGTACGCAATCCCAAAAATTTAACACGAGTTATAAAAATATCTCTAGGAATAGGTTTTGTAAATGGATCAGCTACCATTTGGTGCATAGAAATATGCTGCAAACTCACTTTCTTCTTTCCTATAATGTCTCTTACAAAATTATATTTTGTATCAATATATTTGTTTCTGCTGTGATATTTGAGATCCTTTGTATATGTAATAGTTGTTTGAATATTACAATTAATCAATATAGGTCCCATATCACCACTGAGGACTCTTAGATGTTGTAAGAATCCCTTTAACCAAACATCTTCCTATATCGCTAAAGCAAGTGCTATGTATTTTGTTTCCATGGTGGACAAGTAAATGTATGTATGTTTCTTGCCACTCCAAGAGATAGTGCCACTGTTAAGCAAGAATGCATATCCCGAAATTGACTTGCCTTATCTAGGTCTCCACTCAAATAATTAGCAGTACCCTTAAGGTACCTCAATATCCACTTAACAACTTTCCAATGTTCTCTTTCGGGATTAGATTGATACATGTTGACCAGACTAACGACTTAAAAAATGTTAGGACAAGTATACACCATCGCATACATCAAGCTCCATACTGCACTAGAGTACTTTGGATATTTCTTCTTTTTTCCTCAAGAGTTTTAGGACACATGCAAAGGCTTAGAGTTTCGCCTTTCGATGCAGAAGTATCAATGAGGTTACAATTCTCCAGTTCGAGAATTTTCTTTATATATGACTCTTGTAACAGAGCAAGAAGCATCTTTGAATGATCTCTATGGATTTTAACACTTAATATATAATCTGTTCCACCAATGTCCTTCATTTCGAAATTTGAGGACAGCCATTACTTAATAGTTTTAATATACTCCTTATCATTCCCAACCAATAAAATGCCACCTATGTATAGATAAAATTACAATTTCTCATTTGACCTTTTCACATAAATAACTGATCTTCATCCATCATCACAAAATAGTACAAGATAATCGCTTTGCCAAATCTCAAGTACTATTGTCTAGAAGACCGCTTTAGGCCATAGATTGATATATTTAATTTACAAACTTTATTCTCTTGGCCTGTTTTAATGAAACATACTGGTTGCTACATGTAGATTTCTTCATCCAATTTTTCATTGAAAAATGCAGTCTTTACGTCCATTTGATATAATTCTAAATCTAAACGTATCACTATGGCTAGAAGTAGGTGAATTGAAGTAAATCTCACTAATGGCGAAAATGTCTCTTCATATTCTATACCATCTTGATGAGTATTACCCTTTGCCACTAAGCGAGCCTTATACTTCTCTATAGTCCCATCTGGTCTTCACTTTATCTTAAGAACCCATTTGTTCCCAATGGTGATGTACACTTCAATTACTTCAATAAGGAATTCGAATCACACTCAAATTCTAACAATCTCTACCTTGACACGAATTCTACCAATTAATGAACTAACTTCTTCAACAATAATCAAAAAATTAATTTCTCCAACAAAACACAATACTCCACCTCTTCCAATGAATTCAATCACCACCCTTCAGAATTATCTCAAATCCCAAAAAATCATAATGATTTTATAATTTACCAAAATGGACCGTAACACACCCTAAAGCAGAATCAAACTCAAATGCTTTTAAAGAAGACATATTGCTAGATTGTACACATTCTACTCCACTTAAAACATGCTCAACAAAATCAGCATCCACATACCCTTTTTCATTAGATCCGTCCCTAGCAATTAAATACAATGACACCGCAGGTGATGGTGGTAACAAAGTTACATTATCCATATCTCCTGAACTCTACTGAACTGTATTCTTCAAATCTGATAATTTATGAGCTTCTAAAGGTATTGTACCAAACTGAATGTCCACCATGGTGCTGATTGACTCTTCTAAATTCTGTACGACCCTACAAGATATATAACTGAGACATTTTCTGTCCCTCCAATACAACTTCGGCACCCTTACAAACCTTCAAAACTCAACATCCACCGAATAACTCATAACCTTTTGAATCAAGGATAGACAACGAGATGAGATTCTTCTTCAAATCTTGGAACATGTCAAACCTGACCAAATGTTCTAATTGTCACATCCAAAAGTTTCAATCTAACTGTACCAATTCCAGTAACCCGACAAGATGCGTTGTTTTCCATAACCACGACACCATTGGAAACAGTTTCATATGTAACAAACAAGTCCTATTAGGACACATATGAAACACATATGCTGAATCAAGAATCCAATCATCTTCCGGTTTAGACTCAATGTTAGAAATAGCTAAAAGATCTCCATCACTTACAACGTTCTCCACGAGGTCTACTTCGCCTGAAGTATCTGAATATCTACTTGCAACCATCCTTTCTTTATTCTGCAATTTCTAGCAATCCTTCTTTAAGTGCCATTTCTTGTTACAGTAGTTACAAACTTGATTACTGAACTTAGATTTCGATCTACCCCTTCCAGAACCACCATGAGAAACCAGACCTTCTCCATGTCTAGTTTCAGAAATCAGATATTTCATCTTCTCTTTTGAATACAAAACATCATACATTTCCTCTATGGTGAGAGTATCACGACTATACAAGGTCGTGTTTCTAGATGAAGAAAACGAAGCGGGTAATGAACACAATAGAATCAAGGCCAAATCTTCATCATCATCATCTACTTCCAAAGTTTCCAAATCAGCGACGATCTTCTTAAATACAGTCAGGTGATCTTCCAATGATCTTTCTTCTATCATTCGTTGAGAGTATAAACACTGCTTGAGGTTCAACTTGCTTCTCAGATTTTTGGCTATGCACAATTGCCCCAACCTTAACAATAAAACAGCTGTTGAATTCTCCTTCAAATCGTTCTGAAGAATAGTATTTGATAGATAAAGATGAATGTGAGAACCTGCCTTCATATCCTTCCGTAATTTG